AATAATAGTAATATGAGATAATTTACTTTTGTAAATTTTGTAAGGGGTGAGAACGTTAACCAAAACATTTCGTAGGGACTGTGGGGCATGGATAAAGGTTGGGAACCACTGGGTTTAATCTCAAAGGTAAAGCAACAAAAAGAATGCTTATAGTACTGTACAGTACTGCGTGCGACTCTCCAGGGGCTCGCGCTCAGGTCACTTGGCGGGAAAAGTAGGCAAGCGCGCGCGTTGGAAATGCTCGCGACTCAGCAAATCAGGACACCGGGGGCGGGCGGGGCGGGGCGGGAGCACGAGCGCGAGCGCGAGCGCGAGCGCCCCCTTCCTGTTGCTGTAGCTACCCCTTTCCAAGCCTCCTGTCTCCTCCTCCACACCTCCGCGCGCGCCTTCAGAGTGGCTTAGCCCCGCCCACTCCTGGCGCGGGCCCGGCGCATTGGCTGGACGGGGCTGTTGCCTAGGCAACGAGTGGCCGCCGTTGCTATTGCTGTGGCCGCCGCCGGCAGAGCAAGCCCGGCCAGGGCCCAGTCGAGGGAGGCGGAGGCTGGGATGAGGCGGCCGGAGGGAAGAGAGGAAGGACCCGGAGGGGGAGGCCCCGGACCCTCCTCAGGCGGCCGGGAAGAGCTCGGCAGTGAGTGTGGGGCAGGCTGGGAGGCAAAGTGGGGGGGGGGGGGGAAGAGGACATGGTAGTTGTGGTTGTGTGCCTTCAAGTCGGTTCCGACTTATGCCGACCCTAAGGCGAAACTATCCTGGGGTTTCCTTGTCAAGGTTTTTTCGGGGGGGTTTGCCATTGCCACCCTCTGTGGCTGAGAGAGTGTGACTTGCCTAAGGTCACCCAGTGGGTTTCCATGGCTGAGGTGGGATTCGAACCCACATCTCCAGAGTCATAGTCCAGCGCTCAAACCGATGCGCCACGCTGGTCCTTTACTCTTGAGCAGGGCTTCCCTAAAGTGGAACAAAAGCTTGTGTCTTTGAGGGACAGAACATCACTCTTTTTTCCTCTTTTTTCTTTTACTGAATACATGAGAACCCAACTGCTCAGTTTAGAATTTGCAGTTTATGGACTGAGTTGAAAGCTTCTTTTTTTAAAAAAATAAGTTTGTTCAAACCACAGTATTGTATGTGGTTCAATTTGTGGTTTAAAAATTTGAAATTAGACTTCTTCGTCTTCAAATTGATACAGTTGGCTCTCCACTGCTTGAAAATATTATATGTGTGTGTGTGTGTGTATGTGTATAATATATGTATTCCAGTAAGCAAACCTTGATTTTGCCACCTTATATAAAGGTCACCATTTCCACTATGCTATTATATTTAATAGGACTTGAACATCCATGGATTTTGGTATCCTTAGGAGGTCCTGGAACCAACCCACAACAGATACCAAGGACCCTTTTAATTTTGTAGGGGTGCAAGCCAGCCTGGTGTAGTGGTTTGAGTATTGGGCTGCAACTCTGGAGACCAGGGTTCAAATCCTGCTTCAGCCATGTAAACCCACTGGCTGACCTTGGGTGAGTCACATTCTCTCAGCTTCAGAGGAAGTCCATGGCAAACCCCCTCTGAAGAAACTTGCCAAGAAAACTCCATGATAGGTTCCCCTTAGAGGCCATAACTAAAAAATGATTTAGAGGAACACATCAACAAGGGGGTGAAAACATTAATCAAACATTTCCTGGGGGGTGTGGGGCATAAAAAACCACTGCTCTAGAGCAAAGCCTCACTTCTGCACTTTACTAGATTTTATTTTTAAAAAATGTCCTAGAGTATTCCCATCTACAGCCAGACTTTATTCAGGAGTAAGCATTCACCCAGTGAGGGTGTATCTCCACTTCAGAAATAATGCAGCTTGACACACTTTAACTGGCATGGCTCCATCCTACAGAATCCTGGGAACTGTAGTTTGTTGAGGCACCAGCCTCTTTGGCAGAGAAGGGTAAAGATCTTGTGAAACTACAAATCCCAGGATTCCATAGGATGGAGCTATAGCACTTAAAAGTGGTGTCAAACTTGCATTGTTTCTATTGAAGTTAAAGAGATTACCTCAAAGGGCTGCCTGCCCTTCTCTTTGCAAAGAGTGTAGGTCAGGGGTAGGCAACCTTTTTGATCTGGGGGCTGGGTTGCTGTCCCTCAGACAATTGGGGGGCCGAAGCACCAAAAACAAACAAATAAATAAATAAATATTAAAAAAATAAAATAAAATATATGCATGCACACTCTCTCAGCCCCAGAAAAGCCATGGCAAAACCCCTGTGGAGATTTTGCCAAGAAAACCCCAAGAACAAGTAATAACAACAATAATCAATATCATGGCAGGCGGCGGTGGCAGTGGCAGCAGCGGTGGCAGGACCAGCCTGGGGCCGGTCCAAAGGCTTCAGGGGGCCGCATCCGACCCCCGGGCCTTTGGTTGCCTACCCCTGCTGTAGGTGATTCTTGCTGAAGTTATTGGGATTTATCTCCTGAGAGGCAACATGCACAGGATTTGGCTGGAAGTGTTTCCGATCGGTTTCACTGAGAAGTATTTTAAACCTCATCAACTTCAGCAGGAAGTGTTATAATGTTTTAGTTTCATTTATTATACTTGTGTCCTTTCCTCCAAAGAGCTCAAGGTGGCATAAAAGGTTCTCTACTCATCTTTGCCCCCCCCCAGGACTGTCTATCCTGTAAGGCTGTGAAACTGGCTACTTCAGGGGTCATCTGGTGAAATTGGTTGTTGGGAATTTGGGCTCTGGGATTCCTTGGACTTCACCTGTTATTCTAACCACTACAATGCCATCTTAAAGGGATTCTGCTAAGATGTGTATTGTATTCATATTCTACAAGTTAGTCTATGTAGTCCTTTGAAACACTTCCAGTCAATTTATAGGCTTCTTTTTAAAAAAACCTACATCAAAATGTACCTATGAAGGGTGGGTGGCCGTTTGCGGTAGATAGCCTACAATCTTTCCTGCCCCTACTCAAGTTCTGTTCTTCATTTCTGAAAAGCAGTGTTTTAATTAATCACTTCATTCCCAACTGTTAATTTTGTCACTCAAAATTAGATATTTTCTGTCACAGTTGACCAGGGTTTGATTCCCAGCTTGGCCATGAAACCCACTGAGTGACCATGGGCATGTTGCACGCTCTCAGCCTCAGGGAAAAATAGAAACAATAGAAAGAACTTCCTGACAGTAAGAGGACAGTCCAACTCTATGATTCTATCATTTTAAAGTAAATATTGTTAAGAGCTGATGATAAGAAAATTGACAGAAGAAGCTTGAATGCCTCTTCTAGATAAACTGAACACAAATATTGCAAGGAAAGGAGTTTCTTTTCTAACCATATGAATGATGGCAAATGTACAAATGCCAAGGACAGGAGAAATTAACTGTGCTCTTTAGTTGTAAAATGAAAGCTGCAGTTTTCATATGAATGAAAACATGTAAACGCCTGTTTTACTACCTTGGCAACCACTTGTCACTCTGTAGCAACTGCAATAGTTTGTCCTGCTGAAGTAAACAAGGATGGAAAACTGAAGCAAGATGAAGTGTTTCAAATGCAGATATCCGCCTCCAGTTGAAACACTTCCATTTGCAATTGTTAACAGGAGCAAGAACTTTTTCTGTCTCTAAGCTCCTGCCTCTAAAATTTCTGAGAGTGAAAATTAGTTATAACTTTCTTTTCTTAAACATACTACGGTAATTAGAAGGAGGTAGATTCCAGGGTTTCCTCAGTTTTTCTTTAAAACAAATAGGGTTATTGTGACTTTACTCTAGTATATATGAGAAACAAATATTAGGTTGCATCTGCACTGCAGAAACAATGCATTTTGACACTTCTTTAATTCATGACTCCATCCCATTGAATCCTGGGATTTGTAGTTTGTTGTGACACCAAAATTCTCTGACCATGAAGGCTAAATATCTCACAAAACTGTATATCTCAGAGTTCCATAGCACTGAGCCATGGACACTGGATTATTTCTGTAGTGCAGATGCCGCTTCATATGGGTTATATTCCTCTTAGGTTTCTGTAAATGTTCACATTCTATCCTGAGTGGGGTTGATGATGATAAATTGTGCAAGTATTGTTAATTCTAGTAAAAAAAAACTGCTTGCAAGATGAGCATCATCAGGCTTTCATTTCTTTAGTATTCTTGAGGTATATTTTTATGTGAGAATTAAGATGAAACTACTATGAAAGGCCTATTTTTCTGGAAATGATCACTGTGGTCTTTTTCCGGTGAGAAATGGATAAGTGGAAAGGTTTTTTTAAGTTTCACTGACACCCACAAGGTGTAACATGATTATACCCATATGTCTCCTTATTGATATCCATGGTGTATAAACCCTAGAATAACTGTATTTCAGTCCTGTGAGCTGATGTAGGACTAAATTTCAGTCCTGTGAGCTGATGTAGGACTAAATATCATTTTAGCACCAAAAGTAGCTGTATGGGAAGCATTCCACATATGTGAAAACTTTTTAGAGCTAGTCATTATTATCCCTTTGCTCCTAAGTGTTGGGACTTAGGCCTGAGTCTGGCGCAATTATAATGGTCAGTACAGTTGTGCTGCTGCTGTTTCTAACTTGTTTGACACTACTGTGCAATATAACAGTTTGCTTTGCTGTGCCTAGCACAAGATCTAAGCTATTGATGTGGTGTTGCACTGTAGTTTTAATTAATATGAATGGCATATATGGTTTTACCCCAGCAAGTGGGATAGAGCTGGATAACGTTGTTACATTTTGTTGCTCTTCTGTTGAATTGCATATCAGGCCTTTAACAGGTTCATGGACAGTTGCCTGCACCAGTGCTTCTAAAACATTTTAACATGGGACACTGATAACTTTATTTTCCTGTAGTGCCAGAGAATAGTACAGTATTTGTGTCCATTGACTATATTTGATTCTTTCTTTCCTGGAAACTCACCAGGGACCAGCAGCAGATGGCTTGCAGACTGGCACTTGTTCACGGACCACCACTTTGAGCTTAGACATAAAGAACAAAATACATGTTTCATTATATATTACCATTTAGTCCACTAGACTTCAAAAAGGCCACAAGGTCCACCATTTCTTCCTGTCTTACATAATACACTCTTTAGGGGAAAATCTGTGATGCCACATTTATGAAGCTATATTTAGAGCAAACCCATAATACGTTATTTCCTGTTTTGTATGCAGCATTTAAAGCCTAGCCTCTCACTTTTAATATAGTGGGTAACCAAACACAGTGCCTAGTAAGCATCCTAAATAATGCCACTTTGTTTGATTAGCCAAGGTGTCTAAAGAACATGGAATTGCTAACATTTAGAAACTCCCCATTTGTCATTATTTGTCCCATTTCTCTAACACTCCTATTACCATTTCCTAACCTAGCTTTTAATAATGTTATTTCAGATGTTTTCACAAATAATTATATTGAATTAGGTCTTTAGGACAGTTACGTTCTAATTTTAAATTTATATTTAACAAGAAATGGGTTTTAAAAATTAAAAACAGTATTCAGTTGTCGATATGACTACCTGCTCAGTGATAGAAAACTCATTGGGTAACCTTCAACAAGTCACATTCTCTTAGCCTCAGAGGAAGGGAAAAGCAATCCCACTTTGAACAAATTTGCAAAGAAAACTCTGTGACGGGCTCACCTTAGGGTCACCATAAGTTGGAAACAACTCGAAGGCACATGATAACAAGTATTTTTAGACAAGTAATTCTGTAATTTTTTTAAAGGGCTGTATAGGTTTCTTTCTAGTGTTTTGTTGTTCATAATTACTTTAACTACCCGTGAGATTGTATGATGGGTTTTTAACTTTAATTTTAGACTGACATTGCTCATGGACATTTAGTGAGCACTGACAACTTAGAATGTCTGCTAGCCATACTAATGGGGAGGTTACTCTTTTGGTAATCTCAGCAGTTCTGAAGATTTTTATTTTGAAGGG